CTGCTTCTTGCAAAATACTCTTTTCTCCTGGTTTTAGTTCCTATAAGTCCTGTATACACAGTAAACTTTTCCCTCTGGCCCTGAAATGTCTAGTCCCTTCATAGTGGAATGATAGTTAAGCTGGGATAGATTTCTAGACTGACAATAAATTTTCATCAGCATTGTTAAGATAGCATTCATTACTTTGGGGTCTTCGGTAAGCAATTCTCATTCTCAACAGTTCTCATTCATCTCCGTGTTTTACCGAGTGTTTGGGTGCTGGGTAGGTCTTAATCCATACTTGGCTATTGGTGCGCCACTACAGTTTTAGGAACTCTTGTTATTTTTCAGTTCTGGAAAATGATTAACCATGACCTCTTCCTATCTGTGCCTTCTCATTCTCTAAAGCACAGGCATTCTTCACTTGTGGTCTCTGGATCCCCTGGGTGTCCAAGAATAGAAGTTAGCAGGCTAATGATTTTGAATGTGAAAAAGAAATCCTTCATTTTCACTGACTTAGAATTGAAATTTCGCGTCCCTTCAACTCTAAATGAAGGTCAACAAACCACAGTGGTATTAGCCATTTCTTTGACTTTTTCATCTACGGAAGCAAGAGATACTTCAATATCACATAAAAATTGTAGCAGGTATAGCAGAATACATTACACTCTCTTCACTGCTTTGACCCAAATTATTTAATACATTACTAAACACGTTCTAACTTGCTATGTCACCCATTTAAAAATATTTTTTAAAATTTTTTATGTTTATTTTCTTGAGAGAGAGACAGAGCATGAGCCAGGGAGGGACAGAGAGAGAGGGAGACACAGAATCCAAATCGGGCTCCAGGCTCTGAGCTGTTAGCAGTACAGAGCCCAACATGGGGCTCAAACTCACAAACTGTGAGATCATGACCTGAACTGAAATCAGACGCTTAACTCACTGAGCCACCCAGGTGCCCCTGAAGATATTTTTACATTTGTATTTAAAAGTCATTAGTTTCCGGGGCACCTGGGTGGCTCAGTCGAGTAAGCATCTGACTTCAGCTCAGGTCACGATCTCACAGTTAGTGGGTTCGAGCCCCGCCTCGGGCTCTGTGCTGACAGCTAGCTCAAAGCCTGGAGCCTGCTTCAGATTCTGTGTCTCCCTCTCTCTTTGATCCTCCCCTGCTCATGCTGTCTCTCTCTCTCTCTCTCTCTCTCAAAAATAAATAAAACATTAAAATTTTTTAAGTCATTAGTTTCCTTTGAAATTCTATGAGTTTTATTTTATGCATTTAAAAACATTAAACTTGTATTTCAAATTTTATATTTCTTGTTTTTCCTCTGAATTATCAAAGCAACGTTACAATGTCCTATTCTCTTTTCATATGTGGCATGTCTACCAGAGACTTTAATTTTTTTATTTCATGAATTTCTACTTACTTGGTTTTCATTTTTTTAGTTTGTGTGTGAGAGAGAGAGTGACAGAGAGAGAATCCCAAGCAGGCTCTGTACTGGGGGCCTGACTGGGGGCTTGATCTCATGAACCGTGATATCATAACCTGAACCAAAATCAAGAGTCCTATGCCCAACCAATTGAGCCACCCAAGCACCCCTACCCACCTGGTTCTTAAGTCTTTCTGTGTCTCTTCTGGTCTTATTCTAGGAGTGTATATTTATGTCTTTGGAGGCTCTAAACTCAGTTATGTGTTAGTCCCTTTCTGACTGATCTATTAGACCTAGTTCTTCCTGTTCTCTCTAGAATCTAGATTCTCCCATGGGTTTTAGAAATTCTGGGGATTCATGCCCTTTGGCTCTCCGTCTGGGAGAACTGGTCGTGGAGACCCTTGAATTTGCCTTTCCTGTCTGTTTCACTTTCACTTCGCCCGGGCCCTGCAGGGGGCATGTTCCAAAGCCAGCGTTCACAAGTATTTCTCAGGGTGGGCTCGGGATGCCTGAAGAGCGTGTGCATGTGGGCTCTACACTAAAGCATGTTTTCAGACTTTCTGCTCACATCCCCGAAGGAGCAGCTGGCTCTCAGGTTGTTATCACGCTGTGTTTTGACTCCCATCTGTGTGCCCAGAGCCCATTTCCAAACACCTCTCCCCTGCGCCCCCCCCTTCCCGTAGTTGGCCACAGCTCCTTCCCTGTAGAGATTTAAAACACCAGTTCACATGGCATCTGTCTGCCCAGTACCTCCGAGCGCTCCAGCACTTCAGCCCCTCTCATCCTCTGGCTACGAGTTTCTTCTGTTTCTGGCACAGTGAAAATGCCCTTTGTTTGTTGTTTTTTATGCCATGTTTCATGGTTTTTTCCTCATTGTAGTTTATCCAGCGTTTATATGTAATGGGGGACTGAGAGGGGCTGTACAGCCGCCTCTCTGTCCTGACCAGACGTAATAGATTTATTTGTATAACGAAACTGGAATCTTGTCATTCCTCCGCTTATATCCTTTAACCTACATGAATGTTAGGTTCCTAAAGGCAGGAAGCTTGTCTGCCTTGTTTGCTACTGTTTTTCTACAAACCCAGAAGAGCACATAATAGGGACTTAAGAAATGAGGGTTGAGTGAATTAAATGCATTATCCCCCACCACTTTCAGGGACCAGCACAATGAACGGGGCCTGTGGTCAGCATGGCCTGGTGTGGACATAATCTCGTCCTTGCGTGGTTTGGTCAGTGCTGCCCAGAGATCAGCGGCTCTTGTCAGTTCGTGTTTATGCTCCCTGGCCACTCACCCTATTTACAAAACCTGGGCCTAACGTCAGCCTGAAAGAGCTGGAAGTCCAAACACTACCCATAAATTCCAGTCACTTTTCCCCTTTCTTTGGTACTAACATGACGTGAGCAATAAATATTAATATTTATATTAAATATTATAATCATACATGGTTGACTAGTTACATTCCCTAAACTCTAAAATGAATATGGGCAAAAGCGTGGGGAGTTACTGAATTCTGTTTATCTTTACTTAAAAAGGAACACTTAAAAAGGTTTACTTAAAACCCACCTGCTTTAACAATCACATTATCTTAATTGTGTTTTTATAACATGAATTGTGTGTGTGTGTTATTTATGTATTTGGTATATTTCTGGAGTAGTGTTCAAAACTTTGTGTTCCTCATAGAAGAGTAAGTGTATATTTTTTTTAATGTTTATTTATTTGAGAGAGAGTGAGGGAGGAGCAGAGAGAGAGGGAGATACAATCCCAAGCATGCTCTGCACTATGAGTGCAAAGCCCAACATGGGGCTCGATCCTACGAACATGTTTTCCTCCTTTCCTTTCCTTTCCTTCCCCATCCCCTCTCCCTTTCTTTCCATCAATCCAGGCAGGAAAAAAATGTAATTAGCAGATGGCCAAATGGGCAGGCCATCCACAGACCAAATCATCTAGGTATATCTAAGTGTTACCCCTTAACCGAAGCACAACATAATTTGGCCAATAAATTCCATAATTATCTCTTAAATGTTTTCTTGTACTCAAAGTAAATGTTAATTTCAAAATGCATAACATCGAATTTTTCATATCGAGTTGTACATAAAAAAATGAAACTTTGCTTTCTATTATAAATAGTGGCAGACAAAAAACTTGCCAATTAAAGGTAGCAATTCCTCTGAGTTAAAGGTTTAAGAAATAATATACTCAGTTCAAATGCAAATGAATGATGTAGGTTCATCTCTCCTCTGGAGCCACTCCCTGTCTCTCCCCTGCCCATGCCCACTCTAATCTTACCCTGCTGTGGGTGGATTACTAACCATTTTGTATCCTGTTCTACTTACTGATATTTAAACATTTCAGTCAAATCCGCCTTTCAGACTTTGGGGTTGGGTTCCTTCCTTCGGTTGGGTTGGGTTGGGCTGGGTTACCCCTTGGGTTAAAACTTTCAAGTGATTATGTTGTGCCATCTGGTGGAAATTTAGTGTTTTTCAGGCCGAGGCAAATGGCATTTCTCTGATCCATGTATTCCTGGCTTTCTCTGTTTGACTTGGTCACAAGTAGATTCTGATAGATTCTACAAAAACAAAGCGAGCCGAGGCCAATCTCCATCCTGTCTATCAACACTACCAGTTCAGTATTTTCCCAAAAGAAATCTTTGCATTTGTAACCCTCCCAAGTTTAAAATAAGAAGAAGAAAAGCAAACAAAACCTCGAGGCTAAATTTACATTCTATTTTATGAATTGGTAGCAAATGAACATGGGATTCTTCCTTAAATCTGTCTTTTTCCCAAACAAGGTGTGTGTTCACTAAAAAGAAAGCTTTCCAACGTTTTCACAGATAGCATTTTCTTTGGATGTAGTATACAGAGTACTTGACCCTGTCATCTGAAACTACTATGTAAGGGTAAAGCTGTCTAGTGTTTTATCTGTTTTTAGAGGATACTAATTGCGTAGACTCTCACTGATGGGAAGTTAATTTCTTTATTGAAATTAATACATTAGTTCTGGATTGCATTCAAGAACAACATGATGATGGGGCGCCTGGGTGGCTTAGTCGGTTAAGCGTCTGACTTTCACTTAGGTCATGATCTTGTGGTTCGTGGGTTCGAGCCCCGCGTCGGGCTCTGTGCTGACTGCCAGCTCGGAGCCTGGAGCCTGTTTCAGAGTCTGTATCTCCCTCTCTCTCTGTCCCTCCCCTGCTCACACTGTCTCTCTCTCTCTCTCTCTCTCCCTCTCCTAGAAATAAATAAAAACAAACAAACAAAAAAGAACAACATGATGATACTATATCCTTTACTAATTGTATTTTCCATGTAACTCCATTCAGTGAAGGATTCCTGGGGAATTTATTAAAAAATTAATAAATCTTTTTATGCTCAATTGGTTAAGCATCAGACTTTGGCTCAGGTCATGATCTCATGGTCCATGAGTTTGAGCCCTGTGTCGGGCTCCATGCAGACAGCTCAGAGCCTGGAGCCTGCTTCGGGTTCTGTGTCTCCCTCTCTCCCTGCCCCTTCCCTGCTCATACTCTCTCTCTTCCTCAAAAAAAAAAAAAAAAAAAAAATTAATACTGGTTTTTTTATTTCTTTCCCTCATTTCAGATTAGAGTCTCCCACACGGAGTCTAAGCATGGATGCCCCAAAGGGTGTTCATATTAAAGCTCATGCTGGGAAAATCGAGGCCCTTTCTCAAATGGATATCGTTTTTCAAAGTAGTGATGGAATGGTGAGTTCAGCGTATCAGCTCCCGTTGTATTTCCTGACAATCCTCATATCCATTAAGGCATCGTTAAACTTATGGTGGTTTGTAAAGACACTGAAAAGAAGACAAAAGGCAATCCAGCATTGCAAGAAGGGCCAAGAAAGGCTGGAGTGATTCTGGACCCAGACAGCCTTCTTCGCCTGTTATCTGTGCTATCCAGTCTCTTGTTATTTTTATCTTTGAAAGAATACTGCAGACATTCAGAGCTGACAGAGAATCAATTCTGCCATTTCCTATTGATCCAGCTTCTCTCAGTATGGTGGCCGCTGGGAGTTCCCTATAAATGACAGTCATCATCGGTTACTGCCTAGAGCCCTATGCTTTCTCACACCAAATTAAGTTGACAGGAAAGTTAAATATGAAAAACGAGAGCTTAAAAGTCAGCCACAATAAAGATGAAATCTGGAACGTCGAGTCCTGAAATAAAACATCGCTGATACAAGCCAAAGTTCATAATAAGGCAATAGAACACTCGCTACTCCATACTGATTGGCCTAGTGCCAGATCAACTCCCGGGTTACCTCATTGAGTTCAAGAGCGTTAACAGGCCTCTCTAGACCTGAACCCATGTTCTCATTTCTCAAGTAGGGAAAATATTTGCTTAACGATGTCACAGTGCCCTATAATACCAATGTGGTAATATGGGTGACTTTTTAAAATTATATTAATATTAACAGGAATGTACAATTGAAATAGCAGATGTTGACCATGAGAGGTGGCTCATGTGAGTGGACAGGACCTGTCTAATGGCAGCCTGCTAATAGACTAGAAAAGTCATCTGATGAAGCCCCTTCAAGTTGTAACTTAAAACGTTACAATGTCAGGAGCAGATAAATGCAAAAATGGAAGCTAAGAATTCTGGAATCTCATTACTACATCATAATGTCACTACATAAAATGTATGACCTTGAAAAAATTATGCTAATTTTAATTTTGAAATAATATCACATCCCATCAGTGTGGTGTCATGTTTATAGTAGCATGTGGCCTGACACATAATGAAAGTTGATATCCCTAATTACTGGGAGCTAGTTCAAGGTGAGGAGATGTCTGGCCTCCCACAAGATATATTCCCATAAAGACAAAGGAAAATGAGCAAGGAACTGGTACGTGGACGACCAGTGACTAGAGTTTGCTAGAAGAACAGGAAAAAAAAATAGGGGGGAAAATCCCCACCAATTAACCACAAGAAAGGAGAGCAGAGAAGCCAACAAGGAGAAGCAAAAGCACATTAGGGAAAATCAAGTACCTACAGAACCCAAAGCACTAGACAATAGTGTAAGTAGGTTCCGTGTTTACAAAAAATACAAGACATGTTTCATTTCTTTTACTCTGACACTGTCCCAGACCACAAGGCAAAGCTTTGTGTCTAATACAGTTTTGCCCACTACTTCACATGGAAGTGGTCAGCTTCCCGAGGGAGAATAGACTGCAGGCATCAATTTATATATGTATATATATGTATATATGATGAGAGTTCATGAGGGCAGCCAGGTGGCTCAGTCAGTTAAGCATCCAACTCTTGGTTTCAGTTCAGGCCATGATCTCACGGTCCTGAGTTTGAGCCCTGCATCAGGCTCTGCACTTTCAATGTGGAGCCTGCTTGGGATTCTCTGTTTTCCTCCCTTTCTGCCCCTCCCACCCTCTCTCTGTCTCTCAAAATAAATAAATTTTTTTAAAGCTAAAAAAATAAGGTTGGCATTCATGGATGAGAGTATGTAAATAAAGGAAGAGTCCAACCTTGTTTGCAAGGAGGAAAATTATGCCCACCTGCAACATACCTTAATTCCTTCTAACAAGTGAGCACCCTGCGTGCGTAAGATTGGGCTACTCAGTATGAGGCTTCTTCTTCGTTACCAGATTTTTCCCTCAATTAATGGCCATTTGTTTACATTTCAGTTTAACCAAACTAGAATAGGAGCAAAAACCCCAATAGCTTTTACTCACTTTTAGTTGGCGTTAGTCTGTGTGTCTGTTGCTTCTCCATATCTACACAAAGGCAGCAGAGTTTCAAATGATATTTTAGAAACTAGGGAGATGGTTGCTGGCTAATAGGATGAATGTAATTGCCTCTTCTGGGAAAACAAAACCAGCAGAAATTCCAACATTCACAGGTAAAAATAGTGAAGGGGCACCTGGGTGGTTTAGTCGGTTACAGCATCCGACTTTGGCTCAGGTCATGATCTCATGGCTCGTGAGTTCGAGCCCCACATTGGGCTCTGTGCTGACAGCTCAGAGCCTGGAGCCTGCTTTAGATTCTGTGTCTCCCTCTCTGTGCCCGCCCCCCATGGTCTCTCTCTCTCTCTCAAAAATAAGTAAAACATTGAAAAAAACTTTAAAAATTGTGAAGATGAATTTATTTCTGTGGCTTGTACTTTAACCTAACGGGATAGAGAAGGTGATTTGGCATAAAGTCAAAATAGATCACAAGATAAGTGTGCATTGGCAAAACAGTTTTTGTCAGATAATTCTGAAAGACTCTTTTTAGGAGTAGAGCCTCATAAATATTCGTAGCTCAACTAGCACAGTGGGTTAAAAAAAAAAAAAAAGACCTCTCTCCAATTTGGAGAAGGAATTATTAAGCCCCTGCCTGAATGTAAAACAGAAATATGCTTTAAAAGAATCTGATCATTATAATATGACTTAGGTAAAGTTGGGCACCCTATTTTGTTTTCAATGCAGAGAAAACACTAGCCTGGAGATCTGAGTTTCACGCTATCGTGCGCATCCACTGGACCACTTCACTGCATCTCTTACTTTTTTTTCCCAAACAGGTTGTGCTCGATGCTGAAACCGTGTGTTTACCCAAGTTGGTTCAGGGAACTCAGGGCTCTCCCGGCAGCTCACAAGAACTCTATGAAATTTGTGCGTGTCCAGATGGGAAGCTCTACCTGTCAGTGGCTGGCATGGGTACCACGTGCCATGAAAACAGTCACGTCTGTCCCTAAACCACCTGCATCTTCCACAGAGCACCTGCGTTGTGTCAGTGAGCTTTACAGTTCCCACCTCAAGCCTTCACGCTAAGTGACTTGACATCCTATAAAACCAAGATGGCGAATGGGAAGTTGGAGGACAGAAAGTGTGCCGATGAACGTGTTGTGATGAAACTACGTGGCCTCAGAATACTGTGTACCTATTAGACACGGAAGTCTAGCAAGAGCACAAAAAAGAAACGTGATTATTCCACTACATTTATTTTCATCAGAACACTTGTGACTTTCCTTTCATGTAGATAGTCTACAATGAAATATTGAATTGCTGTGTGGAATTAATTTATGCTGTTCAGTGGTGAATATCTAACTCTCCATGGAGGCAGCATGGGTCTCAATGCCCCTTGAAGTCAATGTGGTGTTCCCATTATATCACTCAGACCCACACTCTCATTTTAATGCAAAGTATGTCAGGCCTCACAAGAAAATCTTCAGGTTTTGAGGGGACTTAGGTGGATGTGATTTTCGACATGTAGTCAAAGGAATAAATTACACAAAATCAATCATGTTTTCTTTACATAGTCAATAAGCAATAAAAATCAACCTACATTTTCACAAACTTCAGTTTGTCTTCCTTTAATCCTCACGCCACCATTCTGAGGTAGGTATCATTTTCCCCCAAGTTACTGGTGATTTTTAAAAAAGCTTCAGATAGGACAAGTCAGAAGGTCATACAGGAGCTGGTGACATTAAACTGAAATGTGACCCTACATGTGACCAGCTGTCCTCACTCTGAAAAAAACTCTGGCGTATTGTCTCATTCCATCCAAATTCCAGCCTCCATGATAATTGTGTAAATGGGATAATGTTCATTTGACATGTGAAGTAACCGAAGTCCGAAGGGGTTTTGTCGCCCACCTGGATCATAGAGCTGTGAGGCGGTGGGACTCACCACTGCCCAGTCGTGGATTCACCTCTTACACAACAGTGATGGACTGGCCGTAACTTCACAGAATCAGACTCGCTTCAGCTTTGAAAATATGTTTAATATCAAACAGAACACACCGAGCCTCTGACTCACTGATTTTGTTAAATGCCAGTCGTCACAGGGTGTGGGTTTTGGGGTTTTGTATGTTTTGTTTTTGTGTTTTGCCAGTTGTAATTAGAATCTCCGAGTCGCACCAGATGCGGTAGGAGCAACAGCGTTGCCACTCTATTTATAGGACTTGTGATGATAAACACAAGTTCAGATTCATTTTCTGCAGTCTCAGAGCTGAAAGCAGAAACGTGAACCCTGTTTCTAATGTTTTACCCAGGTGTTCATCTAGCAGTGTAGCCCACTTACGACAGATCCTAGATTTTTCTAATTGCTATGTACCTGAAAATGTGAAATTACAGAGTAAACATTAGGTGTGTCCTGGGCAGTTACGAGCAAACTTGACTCGGGGCGCCTGGGTGGCTCAGTCGGTTGAGCATCCAACTCTTGATTTTGGCTCAGGTCATGATCCCTATGTCCTGGGATCCAGCCTCGAGTCAGGCTCCACACTGAACATGGATTCTCTCTCTCTGTCCCTCTAGCCCTGTCCTCCATTTGCTCACTCTCTTTCTCCTCTTCTTCTGCCCCCTCCTTCATTTGCTCTCTCTCTCTAGAATTAAAAACAAAAAAAAGCAAACTCTATAATGTATCTAAAGTTTCATAGGGGATGTTTTTAGATTATAAATTGGTAGTCACCTTTTCCACGTAGTTAAGTCCTGATTTTTTTTAAGTTAACATCTGCTTACTTGCTATAACATTCCTCCTGTCAGAGTAAATAGTGTTGCCTGTTTGTTCTGTTATATATACTCTCTTGCTCCACGTTTGTGAAAAACAAAGGTCTTCAAGCTCGGTTGACCCAAGGTCAAGAAAAAGAATCAAGAAAGTATGGGGGATAGAACCCTTTAAATAAAAGATGTAAACAGGATTTTTTTTTTTTTTTGGCTCCTTTGCTATTTGGAATCATCATGAAAGAAATTATTATGGATAGATAGCTGTGTTCTCCAGTGATAAGTGAATCCAAACTTTTTAGAGAGGCTGTATTCTAAACTGTATTACATAAACTCATCTTTTTGAAGACATTGTGCAATGGAATTTAAATATTCATTAAAGGTGTAAGATCGTAACGATGAACCTACCTAATGAATATACCTGATGGGCTATGTGCCACGTGGCTGTGGACCACTGGGTGCTGCTATTTGACCTCAAAAATAGTCCTCCTTTCTCAATTTCCAAACCAGCTGAGTAGACACGGCAGAAAGACGAAGATCAAAATGTTAGCTTTAATAGTGAAAAATAAGTCAGATTTGCAGCAAAATGGACTCCCTAAGACTAGACAGCTGAGTATCAGAGGAAGGAAGCTCTCTGGCCCCGGGCAGGACTATGGGCCCAACTCTGGCAGCTCACCACCATGCGGCGGGCAGACAGAGGCACCTGATCTCAAGGCAGCCAAGTTCAAAGCAAGAGGAAGGGGCCATCTACCCAGGCACGAGTCTTTCCCCTCCGATCCGCCCACCAGGTTCATCTCCACAGCTTTGGGGGTCAGCGAAGGAGAGCGGGAGCCGTTCTCAAAGGCAGAGCCAGCCCCTCACACTAAGACTGGTGTGTGCTTTATATAGTTTTTTGCCCCTTCCTTCCCTGACGTCAAATACCACTTCTCCTTCAGTTGCCCTGTCTTACATTCCACTTCAGACTTGCTATGGTCTCAAAACCACATAAACGTTTGTCATCAGGTCTAATAGGCCTGCAGGTAGAAGAGGTGCATCTGAGGGCGCCGTGAAGTAAAGATCACTTTTCACTGTAGAGACGGTGCAACTTCAATTTTGTCTTCTTAGATCCCAGCTTTGTGGTCAGAGTACGTGAGGGTATTTCCTGAGCCGCTTACCAACCGTGAAAGAATATGCATTTCAAACACATAATGCTTATTGTTAAATAAAACCTAAGTCTGGCTTTAGCATACAAGTAGACCAGGTTCCTAATGGAAGCAGGTCATTCTCACTGGTCCGTGGACACCGACAGCCAGGCTGGGATGTGCATCTTCACGTCTCCGACACCCACCCTAACGCCTGCACACAGTGCCCAGGGGCTGTTTTCAAGTGAATGAATGAATGACACTACTTTCAGCTGTATCTGCTCAAACAAGACAATGGAAAAAATCTTTGGAAGCCAAAGAGTGAGAAGGCTGGCCGTGGGGGGCTGGGGGGAGGATCAAAGTGTGAGAGATCAGGCCGGGGTGGGTGGGAGGGGCTGGGCACCAGTGGCATCACCTACCTCCCGATTGCATTGCCAGCCCCCACGACCACGGTCACTCCCCAGAGACAGATCTCTTCACGGATCTGTGTCTGTGCCTCCTACTGGTCCTGTTTCTCTGGGAGAACCCGGCTCAGCGCGACTGAGGACGATCGTCTCGCATTGCTCCAGCACTACAAGTGTTACCCTTGAGCTCTGCGGAACATTGGAAGTCCAGAAGAGGTCAACTGGCATTAACGGAAGAGAATCCCACACACCTGCTCATCAAAGCTGTGAGCCCCTCTTTATTTTATTAAAACTATTCGAACCTTTTGCTAGCATCATCCTTGGGCTCTCAGCATCTCTCCCCCCCCCCCCAACTCGGCCTGCTGCCTTGGAAACTATGTGGACAGCAAGGGTCTCCCTGAGTTCCGCAAGGACCCTGTGAATGGCTCAGCCAGCCTGCAGGGGACGCTTTCACCCCTCACTCATCTGGCTGCACCCAGCCTGGCCCATCTCCTTCCTGGACCGCAGCTGCTGCACACACGGGCTGAGTTTGCCTTTTCCTTTTAGTAAGAAAAAGCAAAATGGGAAACTATAAAATAATAAAATACAAAAATTAGTTCACGTCAAAAATTCCCTAACCCTGAATTTCAAAATCCAAGAATCTCCAAGAATCTGAACGCTTTCCAAACACGTGCTGCAAGACCTGTGTCAAGACCTAGCCCTAAATGAAGGTGAGGTGACTTATCATGTCTGTGTATTCAAGTTAGTGTGAGTGTCTGTAGGTTCCCCTGCAGAAATGTTAATGTGCTAGATTCAGGAGCGCTACCCAACCCCAATGGGAATGGCTGTATTAACTTTCTAAAATCCAAATTCTGAGATGGATTTGGATCCAAGGGTTTTATGTAAGAGATTACGCACATGTATTTTTAAAAAAAAAATTAGGAAAAAAACACCAAAACCCCAAACTACCTCAACTAGCACAATGTCCAGACAAGGTTTTCTGTGTAAATTTTAATATCAAAAAACAGTAAGATATGTTCCCAGTGCTAAATTTGAGTTTCTATGGAGCAAGCTGTACTCAAGACCGTTCCAGACAGCTTGCGACCCTAAATTTGCTAAGCCCCAGGACAGAAAACTCTTAGCCCTGGTCTACCTAGCTTTGAAGACCTGTGCCTCAGGTATAATGCTGAAACTTTTCCATTAGGGCTCAGGTGTACACTAGCCCCAGACATGTGGTCCCCTGCTGGGTCAAGGTAAATATCAATTCAGCCTCTACCTACAAGAGAACTGTATGTACTGTACCCACTTGCAAATGTACACATGTATACACATATATACAACCCTACCATATGTATCGGCTAATCATATTCCCTAAAAAGGAAAAACAAACTCTTAACGAAACCAATGAGCACCTAATAAACCCAGTATATATCAAGTACTTTATATTCAATCATAAGAGCCTACCAAAATTCCAATATAAAATGTAATAAAAATCCATCCTAAATATTTCCAGTAAACACACACAGATGCACATATCAAAAGTTTATAGAAGATACTAAGTCTGATGTTCAGGAAATACGTTACAATAATTTCATATATACATTTGCTTTATTAAAAGTACGGCACTTAATATAATAGCAGAAATAATTACATAGCTTCACATCCAGAAGCAATACAATAATGGAGGCACAAACATTCCTTATTATCAATAAAAGTAAAAAAGTTTGAATATGTCCCATAAGCCCTTAATTGCATAAAATGCTGTATTTAGCATCATTTACAGCCAGCATACTTATATGAACTAATTGTCACTACCTCTCTTTTACATTCTGCCAAAGAAATATGCCAAAGTAAATACAGTAGCAGAGGGCGCTCAAGCATGAGAAAAATCAAATGTCAGGTCCGAATCATTCGTGGGGAAAGTGCAGTAAACTGTTACAAACTACTGGATATTGTCACAATGATTTTACACGTTTCTTTAATGTCTTCCAAAGGAAAACCCGAGGGACTCCACTAAGTGCCATGTGGAAAGAGAAGCTTTGTTTTAACCGCAGCACCTTTAGACAACAAAAGATTGCATCGTGTTCTGTCACACTCTATAAATTATGGTACCTGTGGAAAATATGTACAAACAGAAAGCGAATGTTCCAACAGTTGATAAGTGTCGTTTTGGTGAGCAGTCCTTGGACGCAATATTAACACCTGGTGACAAGGGCTGCCACCATTATGGAAAGTCCCGAGCTTTCCATAATGGCCTTTTCATGAAACAGGAAGCCTGTAAACATAAGGTGTAGGAAAAAAAAAAAAAAAACACTTAAAAGAAAGATGTAAAGTGCACTCGGTGCACCCTAAGAAGTACTCTCCGCATCCTCTTAATCAAGTAATATTCAGGATTACAATACTGTACCATTTTTTAAATGTACTGAGTAAGATGAAGAATTGCAACAAATTCATAATCAGAGCCAGCTGATGATAACGCATCTAAAAGATGATCCAATTAAAGAAACAATCAGCTCCAAAGACTTGATTCCCCTTATTTGTTTAAACCAATGAGATTCCAGTGTTTATACAGCCTTCAAAATACCATGTTAAAGACATGAAAGTTAACTCCATCCTGATCAGGGACATACACAGACTCTTATCGGACAAGCCGCTAAAGCTTTGGTTACATAAAGTGCAGTTCACTAATGTGCCATCCTAGCCTTTCAAATGCATCTAGCAATTCTGCAGCTCATCGTCTTCACAATAATTTTCTTTTAAGGTCGGTTAAGGTCATCTGTTGATATGCATGTTAACAGCAACTCCACAGTTCTTCCCATGCAATCTGCAATGTGCTTTACAATTCTTACATAACTAACGGACAATGGACCTAAGGACGTACAGCATTCATACTTGTGCTATGACACAGTCAAGGTCTGGCTCTGCTTTTTTTTTTTTTTCCTTTAAATACCTTCACACTTTCTGTTGTATAAAATTTTCAAGTTTTATGATGATACAGGCAGTACATTCCATCACCCTCATAGCAACCTCAGAGGTGAACCTGTCGTTTGGGATCTGCGGGAAAGGAAGCAGATCAGGGTACCTTGTTTTTAAACTGTCCACACCATAGGCCTCCAGCGTGTGGACATCATTTGTCAGTCCTTCAAGCTGCTGACTGTATTCCTCTATTTTCTGTGCGAGTGCGGTGGGCTTTACGTCTTTATCAGACTTCCCTCTGACAGCATAGTCAGCGGCGATCAAAGCTAACTTGGTAGAGAGGTGACATTTAAAGCACACCCATTCATTGGCGTTTTTATGGAGGTCGTTCCTGGCAGCTGAAAAATTCGCTCTGGCCTGTCTTAACCATCTACGCGCTTCAACCGGATTGCCAACTGACTTGAAAGTGGGAGGGACAAAGAACCTTTGAGAGTAAGTCTGTCCAGCTGAAGGTGTGCTTTTCTCTTTATTTTGTTGTTGCCTTTCAGATTTATGGCTCGTCGCCTCTTGATTCCACGAAGTATAAAATCTCTGAAACGAGTACTTGTCCGACTGAAATCGGGATGCTGAGGTTGAAAATGTTCGCCTTGATGTTCTGTCTGCATTTTGGTCTAGAAAAGCCTGCTTCTCTAGTCTGTTGATTTCGTTCTGCAAATGTTTAAAAACTTCATTAGCAATGTCATGATTCTCTGGATTTTTGTCAGGGTGCCATTTCAAATACAACCGCCTAATAATCTTTTTCCTTTCTGATTCTGGAAGCTTCCACGCTTGCTCCACCACAGATGTCACTTCTTTTAAAATTTCTGGCAAAGAATTCACCTTTAGCTTTTTGGGGGACTGATGCTTTGAGGATGAGGTCTTGTGGCTCTCTCTGCCGGAGAAAAGAGGAGGAATGCTTCGTAGACCAGGGGCTAGGAACTCGGTAGGGCTGGTCGGTGTAGAAGGGGCACTGTCTCTGCTTTGAGAGCTTTCCTCAGGCCTTGAAAACTTATAGAGATCGAGAGAGCTAACTATTTTATATTCGCTGTAACCAATATCAATCTGATATATCTTTCCCAGAAAACTAGAATTATCAGCATCTTCTCTCTCAACTTCTTGTACGATAATTGCGTATGTGTATGTTGGCTGGTATGATCCATAGATATCACCACCTTCAGCATCAACAAGGTATCCAACATACTCTCCCGGGTAAAAAACATTCATTGGATCCATAAGCAGAGTATAATGGATTTCAGCAGGTATTGGAGTGCCAGGCATTGGAAGTTCAAGTTTTGATGGTTCTGAAGAGTCGTATTTAACCCCTAAACTATCAAGCTTCTCACTGATCCTGTAAATATCATTGCAGCCTAGCATAGCGATTAAATACGAAGTGTCAGATATCAGGTTGTCCGTCGCGGACTTCAGCGTCATGGCCAATGCTAACAGGAAGTTAATGTCCTTGCTGTCTGAATGCTGTATGTATAGCAGAATCACTGCGTTGCCAAATCTCTTCAAAAAAGCGAAAGTTTCACTCCTGCTGTGGGGGATAGGGTTAAAACCTTTAACTCTTAGAGTGGTTTGAAGCTTTTCAAAACAGGACACTTTCAATCCCTCTCTCAAGGCTTTGCAAAGTCTTATGGCTTTTTCTTCATTGGCCAGGAAAGCATTGTCATTTTCATGCTTCATGATTCTAATTAGTCCTGTGATGAACTGTTCTGAAGACAAGAGTAGCTGCAATCTGCCCTGAAGAGAACACAATGCTCCAAACTGACAAACTTTGGGAGTCTCTTCATCTAGCTGTTCTTCAAGTATACTGCTCAGTAAACGAGGTCGAAGTTTTTGAGGAAAAAGCATTATCAACTTAGTATGGAAGCCATGGTCCTTCCCTAAGTAGCACTGGCTAAGGTCAACCAACATCTGCACGCCAATGTTCCCCTGGATTCTACTTTTGTAATGCGGTGCGTCATCGAACACTAAGATGCTCGACTTCACCAGTCTGCCATCTTGGCTTGGAAGGTAAAGCGCGAGGTCTCGTACATTCTCGAGATCACTCCTCACCTTGACCGAATCGTTTTGCAGACTCTTGAACAAGCCGGAAACTACTCTTTTAACCGTGCGCATTTCATTAGGATCCAGTTGTTTTCCTTCTGAATTTTTGAATATGCGGCTCAACACTTCAACATACTGCTTGGTTGAAATAATATCTTCAGTACCGAGGTGTTTGAACAACTGGTGAAACGTG